CTAGAAATTAGTATTGAATCATGGTGTGAGGTTTTCTGGTGAGGTCTAAAATTGGCTATGAACTCGCTCACCTTGGAGCCACCCAGAAAAACAAAGGCCCACGTAGGACGTGAGGACGTGGTCTGAGCTGGTGTAACTAGAGCTTCACTGGAACAGCCGAGCTTCATGAGATTAGAGAGCCGTGCCCTTGGCGTCAGGTTCTGTCATTCTCGGGGATGTCCTGCTGTTGCCCCTGTCTCTGAGAGCCACTGCACGAACCGCCACCGAGCCTGCAGTGCTGTATACATTCGCACTGTGAGCTTGGGTGGCCTTTGGCAGACGTGGGGCAGGGGTGAGCCCTCACAACGAAGATGTAAATTCAGTGTTGCTGAACGTTTCCTTTTCAAATAAGCTTTTATTGATTGAACTTGTAATATATCTTTGGGGCTGGATGGCCCCTTGTTAGTCAATGATTTTATTTTAAGCTCTTCCTCCTACACTGTAAGCATAAAAAGTCAGTTCAGTATCACACCTCTGCCGACTTCCCTTGCTTTATTTTGCACTGGATTCAGGCGTTTACTGTCACCTTGTGATTTAAGACTGCTGTAAACTGCGGATTCCCTGTGTGCTACGCTTTGCTGATTCTGAACCCCTCCTCATTTTCCTGCTCTCACCTGCCGGGCTCCTGTCGTGTTGACTTTGCCGCGTCAACTCTGTGCCATCTTCTAAGTGCGGCACGGCAAGAAAGGGCACTAGCCGGAGGAACGGGCCTTCTTGCCCTTCCCTTTCGTTGCCCGCTGCAGCCCACCCTGTGGACTACGCAACACAGGCCCGGTGAGACGAGTCAGCTTTTATACCCTGCCCCGTTACTAGCGCTTTACAACAAGGACTGATGAAATGGCAAAGCATCCAGCCATGCACAATAAAATCACGCTTAAAAGCAGTGATACATTAAAATGGTGGGAGAAAAATAGAATGAACTACCAGAGGAAAGGTCGGGGACCAACAAGACAAGCCCTGCATTGAGTGTGCAAATGCATCTGCAGCGCTGTTGCAGAAAGCGGGGGATACTGAGCGGAAGGCGTGTCTTCTCGATAGCTGTTGGACCTTGAAGTCTCTAAAAAGGCTACTGCTTTATTATTGATCACCATTAGGAGAGGTGCAGAATGTGTGCAGACAGAGGCTCGTGTATACACCATGTGTACCATGCCTTTTTCTCTTGTGAGAAACTCGAGACGGCTGGCACAATGCTTGGCCCAACTTGATGCTAACAACAACGACCCTGCGGGGTAGGACAGGTCAGCTGGTGAGCTCCATGGCCAGGCAGGGTCTAGAAGCTGGATCGCCACAGCTCTAGCCCCAGCTCTGCATGCTGAATCGCTGCCCGTGCCAACTGTGTTTTCCTGGGTGGTGCCAACCATTAGCAAGTTCACAGCTAATTTTTACCTCACCAGAAGGCCTAGCAGCATGACTGAATACTAATTTCCAGAGATACGATGACACATTATTCAGACTGGGAAAGCATTTATTAAAATGTTACATATTCTCAGAGACAC